GCCAGCTAATCTGAAAATGTATTCCACTGATGACAAGAGATACTTTTGTGTCTGTAAATGGCTGTAGTTATTCTGCTCACAAAGGATTCATTCCCTGCCATCCTCAGTAGGCATGTGAAAGAGAGAGCTTGCCAGTCAGTGTAGACAAAACTAACCTGAATGGTCTGGTTCTGTATAAAGTACCTACCTATGTTCCTGCAGACCTTTTTCTGTTCATGAGAGTCTCCAATATGTTGGATTTTTGTAAGATATGGAAAAGTAATGAGAAATTATCTTAAAGCACGCTTTCTTTTTACAATTTAATATTCAGGTAGTCAGAAACCAGTTGCCAGCAGATTCCCAGCACTGAAACCTGAATCACTCTGCTCTCTTGAGGCAGTACTGTAAAAGACTCCTGTCTGAAATCCTAGGTCAGTGTGGGCAGGATTGTGCTAGAAGGAGAAATGGTCTCATATGGTATAAGGTAACTTTCTAAAGCTTGGAATAGTTCCTTCTGAATTTTAAATGCCAAGAACTCCACATCATATATCTGCAGGAACTGGGACAAGATTCTGTTTGTGTGCCTTTAAAGCATAATCATTTGACTGCACAGAGAGTGTTGTTTTCATTCCTACATTCTGCTTAATGATTGGATGTAAATCTGAAGCCAGGATGGAAAAATTTGATACATCACCTGGCACAGCTGGCCTTTGTATGGCCAAAATGTCCATTTCAAAAGCAAATGTCCTTGAACCGTGTATAAATTAATACACCATGTCACAAGCAATTACAAGTTGCTTTGTTCAAAATGAAGCTTTAGGGGCAACCATCACTCCACGTTATATACATACAGTAAAGTCAGTTGGCTTCAAAAGAAATCACAACCTTATAGCTAGTCACAGGCTATGCTTCCAATCTTGGATCAACTTTGGAAGTTTCCAAGCTTTAGAAACTCACCTTTACTATCTTACATGCCAACATTTTGTTGAGTAATGACCTTTAATCAAATAGTACTTGTAGCTGTACTTACCTTTGTAACTGGCACACCTGGAGGCAGAAGATGCAATTCAGTGGAAGCTGTCATCTCCCTCCATGTTTAGAGCAAATATTGTGTTTGTTCCTTCTTTCTCCTTAGTTGTCCTCTGTTCAGCTGCCTGGGATTGCTGCTTGGACATTGTTGTCTGGAGCTGTATTCTTTCAACTGACCATTAAGCAAGATCAGGATGTAAGCATTTACAATGTCTATTTTGCCAATAACCCTTCTTAAACTTTAACATGGCGGATGCTGAATGCTGGGACACAAGGTGTTCCATGAGATATACCCATATCCTGAATCAAACAGTAGGATAATTTATCTATAATGGATTTATACATGAATTATTCTATGGTGCATGCTATGGTAATATTATATACTGGAGAGCTAGTGTAGCATAGAGGTTTGGGTGTTTGTCTACAACCCTGGGGAACAGTTGCTTGGTTTCCTGCTTGGCCTTGGAAACCCATTGGGTAATCTTGGGCAAGTCACATGCTCTCAGCTTCAGGGGAAGGAAATGGAAAACTTCCTCTGAATAAATGTTGTCAAGAAAACACCAAGATAGGTTCACCTTAGGGTCAACATAAGTTGAAAATGACTTGGAGATACACAACAACAACAACAACAACAACAAAGCATACACGACAGCCAGCATGGTGTAGTGGTTTGTTATCAGGGTTCAAACTCCCGTTCTGCCATGGAAACCCACTGGGTGACCTTGGGCAAGTCATGCTCTCTCAGCCTCAGGGGAAGGCAAAGACAAATCACCGCTGAACAAATCTTGCACCCCCCTCCCACCCACCCCAACATAATAGGATGACCTTAGGGTAACCATAAATCAAAAATGCTAGTGATGTTGACTTCAAGGCACACAACAACAAACAAAATAAGAAACAAGGGAAACTGCATTTCACGTGAATAGACTCAATCAAAGAGGTTACCATTTTGAGTTGGAAACTACTTGAAGGTACACAACAACGTATTATACAAGTTGCAAGACTACACTCTTTCACAACATCAGACTTTTTAAAATAAAGCTATAATTAAAGAAGGCTATCTATAAGTGATTGAGCATGGTGATGAGTAGCTGTGATTTTGGACCCATAAGTATAAATTTTAAAATGCGCACACATGTGCACACATGTGGAAACATTGGAACAGCAACACTTTATCTTGGGGTGTTCAGAATGCAGAGTTCTGAAGCGTGCACAGCAGTGTGCGCAGCTGGGGAAAAATGTGTACAAAGCCATGGATGCATTTTGCTTAAGAGTATTCTGCAAATTAGCACAGAAATGGGTAATAATGATGCACCAATCTGATAATCTGCTTGGAAGAATAATTCACACAGGTATCCCTAGAGAAAGTGCGGTTGGATCACAGTTCTAGAGTGCTCTTTCTTTCTCAGGATTGTGCTACACATGTTTAAACTATCACTTCTTTTCTATTGCAATATCTTTTCCCATAAATATTATCCCTGCTTTTAGTAAGCAACACTGCCTTGAAGTTCTTGTACTGTTTTCACAATGTCCTTTCTCACCTCCACCCCCCACATCACCACTTTCCAAAAGCTTCTACAGCTCAAGCTGTATTTTTTCCAGTTGGTTTGATGCAGGTCCCTGTGAAGTAGAAGAGGACAGCACAGTGGGATATTAAAGTGCCAGGATGGAGAAAAAAGTCAGCTATTAAAACTTTTTCTGCCTTGTGAATAGGAAGCAGGACTAAAGATTTGTTTATGTTCCACTTGCAATGCCAGAAAACAGCTAGGCTTGACTGTTCTTTGAAATCTCCTCTCCATCCTGCTGGTAGGTCAGAAAAGCCCAGTCAAATTTAGTTGTCACAGAATTTTTGACCCGAAACTACTCTAGTGAAAGGTTATTGAAATACAGTGTGGTTTTTTGTTTTGTTTTAGTTTAGATATTTAATGAAATCAGCTAAGGACTTTTAAGCAGAGAAAGGATGATGACATTTAAGTAGAAAAGTGGTTTGAAGAAAAGGCAGACAGATTGTGAACCTATACATACAAACTTACTATACACTCAGAGTTTGGAAGGAAAGTACATATAATAGTGTTTCCTGAAACATTACTTTTTCACCACTGATGTTACCAATATTGTTACTTTTAATAAAAAAGTATTGACTGGTAATAATGGTAATGCCATTATTTTGCCATATGAAGTAACATTTATTGATTACTCCTAAAATATTGGGGGCAGGGTTTGCAAAGATTTGAGGCTCTTTTTATGTTTTACTGTGTATATTTAAAATATAATTAATTTAAAATTAATTGCTAAAATTGACTGTTTAGCAATATGTAGTGTAATGAGTTATTTTTAAAATAACAGGCAGTGCCAACTTGTTACTTTTTGAGAGCAAAAGTCAAGTAGTAACAATCTGTGTTCCAAAAAGTAGTACTTTTTGTGCTCTCAGTTTTGCTGTGTTTTACATTTTGTTTTAGTAAACCAGCTCTTAACTTAGGGACTGAATAATTAACAAGAATAAAATTATTTCTTAAGAGATTAGGAGTTTTTGTTGTTGTTGTTGTTGCTTTACAAACCATGAAATAAAAATCATAGTCACACAGTTACAATCACACAAATCACAATAAAAATAAAAACAAATTAAAAAAAAACCACAGTCACATAGTCAGTCACACAGATAAGTAGTGTACTCTGATGCATGTACAAAAAGGAAGAAGTCAGAAGGCCTATAAAGCCATGTGTGGAAATGTGCCTTCCAAACTGAAGTGCAATGCCTATTAGAAAATGGAGTTCTATATGTGCATTGAGCTCCCAGAGCAGAAAAGAAAAATTGAAGTGCCTACAGGTAGATCATTTGAGTGCTGCGTGAATTTTAGAAGACTTCAAAAGTGTATTTTAAAAGTTTTACTTGTCAGCTTTTAAGTCATTTCACTGGCAGACTACCAGCTTCTGATCATGAGCTCTGCTGAGAAGAGAAAAGTAACTTGGCAATCTTAATGGACAGCTTTAGACAAAACAGTGGCAGAAGCCCTGGACCACAATTTAAGCACCACAAACTCATGTCTGCTGAATTGATAGCAGCTCCTGCCATGGATGATGCCTCCAATAGCTTATACTGCACTTTCTATTCACCACACAATCAACTATCAGAAACATGAAAAATAAAATCTGTTACACCTGTGATAAATCATTTTCATATTCTTGACAAATGTTTGGTTTTCTGGCTGAGCTTTTAAGATAGCATCCTCCAAGTTGGTCAAGGAGCAATGTTTACATTTTCATATATTTAACTACTTCTACTTATGCAAATAAAAAATAAATTGGAAGTGTGTTTGTGTTACATATTCCTCTAAGTTGAATTTTTAGCCTAAACAGTATGTAAATGAATTAGCAAGGAAAAGCTGTTAGAACAGATAAAGCAATGTGGTCTCTCCTCCCTCTTCTCCTCTCATGGAAAAGAAGAACTACAAATAAACTAGAAAAAACCCCAAAGAGATAAAAGATGGCAGCTACATTGGGGTCAAAAAGTTCCAAGCTGTTAAACAGGATGCATGTCCTTATCTTCTCTGTTAATAGCTTAGTATGTTTGTCATGGTTGCTATGGCTCCAGTCAAAATTAGGGGTGACTAAACATGTTTTAGCTTCTGATTGTCAGAATATAAAAACAAAAGTAAGATAGTGGCAAAGAGGCCAAGATTAAAAAGAAAATGGAAACTGGTACACTGCTTCAATGTTACCAAAGCTCTTCTCTCTTGTTACAACTCTTCTTTGTTTTGCAAGGATTTTACATATATGTACTCAATTACAGTATAACATTTGGGAAGCAATGGTAACTTGAGGTGCACTTGCAGCATGTGTTGTGTGCCTTCAAGCCATTTCTGACTTATGGCGACCCTAAGGCAACCCTATCCTGGGTTTTTCTTGGCATGATTTGGTCAGAGGAGGTTTGCCATTGCTTTCCTCTGAATCTGAGAGCATGTGACTTGCACAAGGTCACCAGGGGGCATTCACGGCTAAGCAGGGATTCAAACCCAGGTCTCTAGAGTCATAGTCCAATGCTCAAATCACTACACCACCCTGCTAGTCACATTTTATCAACAACCATGAAAAAAATAAAATTATTTTTTAGGGTTTTTTGTGAGTTTTTCAGGCTGTGTGGCCATGTTCTAGAAGAGTTTCTTTCTGATGTTTCACCAGCACCTTCAGACAAATTATTTTTACTGCTTGATATACAGAATGGTAGATAGATAATTGTTTTTCTTTAAAACATATGTATCTTGCTATCTGTGATAAGTTAAGTAACAAGTTTTAATAAATACATGGGACCAGGAGAAGACATGTGATCATTATTCTCTCTTAAAAGTGAACTTCTAAGCATCTTTTTTTTATGAATAACAAAATTGTATAAATTCTGTTTGGGAATTGTTTGTCCAATTGAAAATTATTACTTGTCAGTCAATGAGAACCAAGATAATGTAGTGCTTTGAATGCTGGACATGGGAGACCTGGGTTTGAATCTCTGCTTGTCTGTGAATGTCACCTGATGACTTTGGGCTAATCAGAACCTTCCAGCCTCAGAGGAAGGCTATGACACATCTCTGAACAAATCTTCCCAAGAACATCAAACAACAGTGTACTTCTCTCAGAGTTCTATGGGGCCAAATAATAATAATAATAATAATAATAATAATAATAATAATAATAATAATAATAATAATAATAATAATAATAATAATAATAATAATAATAATAATAATAATAATAATAATAATATAAAAATAACAACAACAACAACAACAACAACAACAACAACAACTTATATCCCACCCCTCTGCAACGCAATCAGGGGCGGCTTACAATATTAAATCAGCAATGGAATACATACAACCCCCAAACCCCCCAAAACTCACCCACCTCTTAAAAAATATTAAACTTAAACAATTTAAAAGCATTTAAAACAACCACAACATATGCAGGAAGCATCGCAATAACAACAGCACAGACAGGGAGAGAAAACAGCTAACTCTTGGGGCCGGGATAATTATTCAGGAAAGGCCTGCCAGAAGAGATCTGTCTTAACAGCCTTTTTAAAGCTGTTTAAGGTGGTAATAAGATGGATCTTATTATATAACTGTTATATAGTTATTATGTATTATAACTGAATATTGCAAACAGTCTCAACCTCAAGCCCCAGGTCCTCTCTCTCTCTCTCTCACACACACACACACACACACAATAAAACAATTTATAGATTAAATTAGACACCTATCCAATTGCCCCAGAGTTCCAAGCATCCAGTAAAGTGTCAGGGCAGGACTTGAATGCCTAATTCTTCCTACTGTGCTGTTTAGTTGTATTACAACATTTGGCTGCAAATTTTAAGGCACTTGCTCAAATTTAAAAGGCCTGCTTCTTAGCCTTGGCAGTCGCAGCTCCAGCTATCCTTTTCCTTCTGAATTCAACCCTTAGGTACAGCCGCTTTCTTAGGGTTTTCCCACCCAGTGGGCCAAAGCAATAGTCATAGGGGTTCCAACAGGTTTACCTAGGGTCCCCTAAGTCAGAAATGACTCCAAGACACATAGCAGCAAACTCATTGGTCTGAGTATCTCCTAGCTTGTGTGTTCCTCTTAACTAACAAGTCCCATTTTTCATCTTGTCAATGCTGGAAGGTATGAAATTGTTGTGTGCCTTCAAGATGTTTTTGATTTATGATGATCCAAAGGCAAACCTATCAGGGGGTTTTCTTGGCAAGATTTGTTCAGAAGGTGACTGTCTTTGCCTTCCTCTGAAACAGAGAGACTTGCCAAAGGTCACCCAGTGGGTTTCCATGGTTGAATGAGGATTTGAACCATGGTCTTAAAAGTCACAGTCCAACTCTCAAACTGCTACACCACACACACTCCCACAGTATGAAACAATTCCCTTTCCTATGTGTACAACATTTAAAGCTACTGGAAATGACTCTCTTTTTAAAAAGGGAGATAACAATTTCTAAGCCTTAGGCAGTATTGCATCTTTTCACAACCCTTAAAATAAGATGAAAAATGAAAATATAGACTAATAATAAAATATAAAATATAGACTAATATAAAATATAGACTAATAATAAGTGTGTATGTGGCATGTTCAGCTTAATCATAAGTCTGCAATGAAAATTGCCACACCAGTTTCATGCTGAGGGGTGAAGAAACAACTCTCTCAATAGTGTATCTGTCTTCAGCCCACAATTGGGAGACTTTCTGTGTTTTTAACATCTGCATTTGACTTACTGATCTTCAAGAACTGCTGAGGTTATGGTGAAATAATGCAGGGGTAAGTAGTATTCCTAGACAGTATTATTTTACTCAACCTTTTTTCCACCAGCATCTATTTTCTTATCCCAGGGAAAAGGAATGAAATAAGAAGGCAACCCAAGAACACTCCCTTTTCCTCTTGGCATGTTCCCCCTGCCTTTTTTGGCCTGCACTCTGCCCAGGTGCAGGAGGGGAGGATCAGAACTTGCTGACATTCCTTCTGAGATGGTTTAAAATGTGAAGAGAGGAGGGAAATTGGAACCTGCCTGTGGCATAAACTGGAAGAAGGGATCAAAGTGGGGAGTTTCTAAGCACAGAAGGGTGTGTATCTGTTTGGGGAGTAGATCTCAACCTTTGATGGAGGACAGTCTGGTTGTCACATGAGAATGTTGTATCCCTGTCTCAAGGACCATGTCTACAGTTACGCTTGTTTAATTTGAAAAATACCCCCATCTGAGAAATTCCACTCCCTAATTTTGCCACATCTCTAGCGTACATGTTAGAAAAGGAGTACACACGTGGACTTGTTTAGGTATGAGAGGTGGAAACTAGTAAGGGTTTCAAACAGCTGTACTGGAGTTACTCCAATGCTACCTGATTCAACCACACTTTTAAAGTTGTTTAGCATCTTTATCCATAGCTACTGCCACTTGAGTTTTGTACCTTGTTTTTAAGACTAAAGGTGTTTTCAGAATTTTTTTATGGACTGGAATCATGTGAGTATCATGCACTTGTGTGTAGTCATACATTTTTGGCTATTGTGCAATAGATACTTTGAGACTATGGTTGCATAGGCAGTTTTTTGCAGGTATAACTGTGGCGGAGTTCAAACACTTTAAGGCTGTGATCCAACACTGTATCTGTAGAGATCCAGGTGGGCAACATCAGTTCTATTCTTCCAGCTGCAGGACTACAGCCAGGTGCTGCCTTGGTCACCTTCCTTCCTCCTTTCCACCATTCCAACCATTGCAGAGTCCTGCATTGTTAGGGAAATGACTTGGGTGAAGAGAGGGGAGGTGTTGCACAAGGAGATAGTGAACAATTTCTTCAGAACTTAAAAAAAAAAGACGTACACCTGTGAAACTTGGGGTCACATGTACAGATCCCACCAATAGAATTCCAACCATTGTTTTCATCATAGTGCTTTTAACATCTGTAAACATTTCAACAGGTACAATTTTCTCCAAAATGAAGTTACAGGGACAGGCAAGCTGTACCTGTTAATGTTGGTAGGGTGTGTTGTGTACACATGTGCATGTGCCTTCAAGTTGCTTGTCGACTTATGACGACCCCATGAATTTCATAAGGCTTTCTTAGCAATAGCAATAGCAATAACTATTTTCTTTGGCAAGGAATACTCAAAGGTGGTTTTGCCAGTTCCATACTCTGAAATCATGATATTCCTTGGCAGTCTCACATCCAAGTACCAACCAGGGCTGGCCCTGTTTTGCATGTATCTACAGTGTAGAAAATAACTCAGTGTGATCCCACTTTAACTGCTGTGGCTCTGTTCTACAGAATCCTGGCATTTGTAGTTTTATGAGGCACCAGTACTCATTGGCAGAGAAGGCTAAAGACCTTGTAAAACTACAAACCCCAGGATTCCATAGGATGAAGCTACAGCACTTAAATTGGTATCACATTTCAACAGTGTAGATGCACCCCTAGTTTCCAAGATCAGATGATATCTGGTGTCTTTGAGTTATTTAGGTCCTACTGCAGGGTTTTCGGAGGCTTTCAATCGCCTCTTTCTAATAAAAGCATTGCAAAAAGAGTGGGCAAAAAAATGGGCAAAAAAGTGACAAGACTGGGGTGGATAAACAGATCTTGGACAAGACAGGTCCATCACATTTTTAAGGTCTGTGTCTTGCATTTTCATCATGATGCTCTACAAATTTCTAAATGCATTGTTTCACATAGTAAGGGTCCCTCCCCACCATAATTTTTTTAAGGCAGCGGGGGGGGGGGATATTATTTCAGCACATATTTTCCAGTGACATAACCTTCCTTCAAACATACTTGCATAGAACCCATCACGTCACTCCTCAAGTTCAGTTGTGGGGAGGGCAGGGGGAAGAAATATACATGTACGTGTCTTTCCACCATGAAGTTGCTAATATTATTCAGGCAGACTTCCTGGGTGTTTCATTCTTAGGCTGATTTACATTCTTTCCCAGTGAGGGAATGTGATAAGCACAAGTGTCTATTTATAAGCCAAAAGTGGGTAAGACTTACTTAATGATGTAGTATTTAGTTTAAAAATCCAGAATGCTGGGCTTGGATATTTGGGTTTCTTCCATCCTGTGTCCTGCTGGCTGTTCTACCAGAAGGCTGACCTGAGCCTTGGCCTTGGCCTACACTACAGCAACAAAACAACACCCACAACATGGGAGAAAGTGAGTCAGAGGGTATTTTTAAAAAAGGAAGACACATTGTTTCTTGAGAAGAATGGCAAAATATTATGGAGTAAAGAAAGAACATTTTTATGGCATCAGAATAATCCTCCAGCCTAATTAAAGATGTGTTATATAATCTAGAATAGCTAGTGCCTTTGAACATTAGGACAGAATGGACTGTATTGCATTCTTTAACAAAATAATGAACATCAACAAAAAGAATTTACTTCCACACATTAAATTTGCCCCCTATGTTATCAATGCTCTAACCAATAATAATTATTATTTATACCCCGCCCCTCTGCAGAGCAATCGGGGTGGCGTACACATTAAAATACCATATAAAAATGCAGTACAATATAAAAACATCCCAACAATCCCGACCCCCCCTTA